ATATTATGTTGCCATATTCAAATAAAGGTTTAAAAATGCAGGCTAAGTGTCACTAATTAAACAAGTATATGTTCAGCTAATTGTCAGCCTCTTACATGTGTGCTTCTCGTAAACAATTAGTGAATATGCATATGAACAGCCTTTTAATTAACAGAGTAGAATAATAATGGCTGATAGTAAGACATGCAAATGCAAAAGAAAAGCAAACTGGATGCAAGAACAGCTGTTACTTCTTGCCCAACTTGTTAATGAAAACAAGGATATAATCAAAGGAAAATTTGGAGTTAGGATAACCTCCAAAACCAAAAAAATAAAAAAATCATGCATTGGAAAACATATGTGTGCCAATAAATGCAGTGTGTTTCTAAAATATTTATGTTTCAAGGCAGATTGCTGGCAACAGCCATTTTAGCCCGGCTGAAAAAAGCAATAGAAACCATCACAGAATTTGAATGGTTTTACTGGTTATAATGGGAATTGTACTGGTTTTAATGGTAACTGTAATGGTGCCTGTTGGTCTCTACTGGTAATTGGTCGCCTTCTATTGTTGGCTTGTTAAAACCACTAATAGAACATGTCCCAAAACACACTACAGGAAACAATTTTTTTGTATTAGTTTAAAGGTTAAAAGTTGATAGTTTGTGGACATAATCAAAGGAAAATTTGGAGTTGGGATAACCTCCAAAACCAAAAAAGATGAATGGGAAAACATATGTGTGCAAATAAATGCAGCGTGTTTCTAAAATGTTTATGTTCCGAGGCAGATTGCTGGCAACAGCCATTTTAGCCCGGCTGAAAAAAACAATAGAAACCATCACTGAGTTTTTAAAGGTTTTACTGGTTATAATGGGAATTGTACTGGTTTTAATGGTAACTGTAATGGTGCCTGTTGGTCTCTACTGGTAATTGGTCGCCTTCTATTGTTGGCTTGTTAAAACCACTAATAGAACATGTCCCAAAACACACTACAGGAAACAATTTTTTTGTATTAGTTTAAAGGTTAAAAGTTGATAGTTTGTAATGTTTGTAATGGTATTTGTAGTGGAAACCATTAGAATTTCTGTGATGGTTTCTATTGTTTGCTTCAGCAGGGAGGATAGGCCTAGTTTGTGGTTTGGTCTTAGTGACTTAGGAGTCCTCTTCACTACTCCTAACGTTCCACAGATTTAGGAGCTAGTTTTAGCGCTAAAATGCTTTGTGAAATACTCTTAGAGCAAAAATGTAAGTCCTAAATTTAGGATTGACACGCCCATTATTTTTAAGATTTTCTCCTAAATCGGCAAGTTATGAGCTACTTTTAGCCTTAAGATGTTTTGTGAATATGGGCCCTGGTTTATACAGTGAAAACAAAAATATTATTAATATGTGTAAATATTATAAAGACAATATTTTGTTACCATTGACAGAAAAGTAAAAGGTAAAACTATGGCTGTCAGTAGAATAAAATAATTGTTATATATATAAAAAATTTATTTATTTTTTTCTCTAAACTGTAGATGGCCCTCTATCACTGGCCATTATAACTCAAATACCGTAACACTGCAAGACCTCCAGTTGTATGAAATGCAAAGACTGCAAAAACTGATGTGTTTTCACATATGAGAATGCTGACGTAGGCATGATGGATGTTGCATGCTGCATCTGTCCATTAATTTGCATGTAATTATGGCCGTATTATGCTGACATATTGCATAATAAGCAACAGCTGCCAATGCTTAATCTATGGATTTCATATCTATGGCTTCAAGACCTGAAATGCTGATTGTGACATCTAAAATGTAGTGGCACGGGCTTGGAATTGGTATTCAAAGCAAGCTCACCACTGCCGGGATAAAATGCATGAAAAATTCAGTGCTAAGCTGAGCTCTTACCTGCCACCCTCTACAGCTGAAGTGTTGTGGTAGATGAGAACAGCATGGGGACAGCAAGATGTCAGGGAGATTAAATGGGCTGAATGCTGGTATCTCTTTCCTAGTAGTTATTTAGTCTCCTGGGCTCCTATCTCACCTGCAGTCTCTCATACAACTTTGTGAAGCCAATAGGAAACCTATATGATCAATGGAGTGAAAAGACATGAGGTGTTTTACTTAGACTTTACTTTGATCTGAATTAGTGATATCCAAGGATATAACCAAATATTCAACTTTTGTTCAACTACTCTTTAGGGCTGTGCAATACTGACAAAAAATGATACCTCAATATTTTCTGGGATTTTGTTTGATAACCATAATTAGACAACAATTTGCTAAGTGTGTTGATGTGTTGGTCAGCTGACTCTTGAAGCTTTTCATGTTCTTCATATTCTGTGTGGAGGATTGCTCAGTGACAAAAACTAATTGTAATATTTGCACCCTTAAATTGATTTCCAGAGGCATTTTTACTAGGGCTACGACAATATGCTCATCTCCTGAATCAGTACTATCACTTGGGCACTGAATCGATATGTATTAGGATTTTTAAGAATCGCGATTCTACATCTAAAAGTAGCGTGATTCGATATTACAGTGTATTTAATTTACACTAATTACTTTCATGAATTTTAATGAGAAACCACGTGAAACAGCTGAATAAAGCTGAGAGTCAATGTTCCGAAATTATTATTTCAAGAAATTTAAAGAATTTTGGCTCATCTGTTTGTCTCGTGTTCATTGTCAAACTCCAAAATTAGTTTATTTTAATTCTTAAAAACACCATTATTTTATTTGAAAAGTTAATAATTTTATTTTATTGACAAAATATTTTAGCTTGTCTTATATATATATATATATACTGTATATATATATGTATTTCAATAGATCAGATAACATTTTAAGCTGCCATATAGTCATGTTACAACGTGCCCCTCAGATGTTACAATGTGCCCCACTTATTGGACATGTTGTCACATTTCACTTCAATTATTTCGGGGTAAATAAAGAAAAAAAGTATACACTGTAATTGCAGCGAATACTACAGCGATCTGTAATGCCACATTAAAGAGTATCAAAACTATGTTCATGGTTTGAATTTTGTTATAAAATTGACAGAATATGAATGGTGAGACATTGTTTCATATAAAAAAATAACAAAGCACAAAGCTTATTGTGATTATTGGATACAGGCCCACTTCAAATAATGTTTAGTGATGTTTTGTTCAAGCATCAACTGGCAACAGCATAGACTAAAAGATCTTCATCAACAGGAAATTGATATTGTTAATAATCCAAAACTAGTGTCCACGCTGACATGTTTACCTGTTGTAGCCTATCTAGATTTTATGTGCATGAAATAGGCACTGACACAGCCATTTAAGGTCTAAAATAAAGCAATTTAAAATGAATGATCTATTCTGGAATTTAAAAAAAATCGATTTCAAAATTGTAAAAAAAAAAAAAAAAATTATGAGTGGTTAAGTGAATAAATTATGTCAATCAATGTCAGTGTCTTAATGAGTGAGTCATTCAATCATTAATTCAATTCATTAATTCATTTGTTCAAACGGCTGCTTCATTCAGGAATGAAGCAAGTGATATTCTTTTTTTAGTTGACTATTTCAAAAAACGATTCTTTCAATAGAAAGCTGTGTGTTTCTTGCAGACATTTAACGGTTCTGCTGTGGTGTGATGGCAATGCTTATATTGTTGAGTTATTTTTATGTTTTTTGTAAATAAGAAATGATACAATTAAAATCTATATTATATCAGAACAGAAAGAATGCCCTTGGAATGAAGATTGTTTCAGAAAGACCAAAATACCAACATCTTTTTTGAGCATCTGTATCTGGCCCACAAAATGGTTTTTAGTTTATTGGCTCTTTTTTTTTACGGTGTTACCTAGCACCCCAGCAAAGCGACTTTTACTGTCTCTCACTGCTTTGACGAGGGACCTAGTCTGCTCTGCCCATTTAAGGCTTTGTTCAGTCAGCTTTCTTTTATTCTGTACAAGGACCCTAAAACATTTCAGCTTTTACTGCCATGAGAAAAGTGGGGATGGTGACCGTCAGTTGGATAGATGATTAGAGTACTCCAGTCTGAACGATGATTTTCTCACTTGGAGACAATCTAATCAAAACTTTCCCTTTAGTTTAGTTTTTATTTTTTTCTACACTTGGATGTATTCTTTTTTGGTTTTGTGAGTTAGGACTGATACTCATTGTCTGCTTGGATGAAGATAAAGCTACTTGATAGTCTGGCAGTCTTTAGATGTAAGATCTCATGGATAACATGCATGAAAAGAAGTCTGGAAGACGTAAGCCTGAAGTGCAGTCGTCGATAATCTCAAACAGCCAGATCACTGCTTTTAAAGTATGTATGACTCCATGTTCTGATGATGCTTCATTTGCTTGCCTTTTCCTGTAGTGGTGTTTGTTTTTGTTTTTTTTTACTTTATGTACATCAGGATACTGAGGTAACTGATGTTATATTATATTATTATTGCAATTATTAGGTGGTCCTTCAGTTATTTTCTGAATGACAAAAAAGATAAAGGGTATATTACAATAGTTTTAGAAAAGTCATACTGTATATGACTTTTCTAAAACTATTGTCATTGTTAATTTCTATAGTTAGTGCAGGCTTATCAAAGTTTCTCAGAAAATAAGAAACTTTTTTTTTCTCAAGTCCGTGGTCTTATATTTATTATAGAGCATGTGATGAATGTTTGAATTTTGAAGAGTTTGAAGAGGTTTCATTTTTTCAAGATTTAAAGAAGTTAAAAATACTCCTGCAGTATGTGTCCTGCTACACCTATCCTTTTATTAATAGACCATGTATAAAAGCTTGTCAAAACAAAATAACCAAATGCTGATGCTAAAGTGGGCACATCTTCTTATCACACAGCAAAAGCTGAAGGAAGAGCGTGAGGCCAAGAGAGCACAGCTGGACAGCAGACATGACTATGTTCTCAGCATTGTGTCCTCTTGCGTGGGTCTGGAGAAAGCTGAAGTGGAAGATGCAATACTGGAGGGCACACAGGTTAACATTATTCCACAGACACACTTCTTAATTTGGTTTTGAAGAGCATTCTCCACATTTTCTAGTCAGGAAGTCATTGATTATTAGCATTCCCTAGGATATTTTATACAATGTTATTTAACAGTATTATGTTTGATCTTTCAGATTGAGCGGATAGAGCAGTTCTTTGCTGCCAATGGCCTTCCTCACCTCATTTTATACTACCAGGACACAGAGCCTGTAGACATCGGTTAGTAAAGCCTGTGAAAATAATCATTAGTAAAAAATCTAAGTAATCATTAAAAATACTGTAATACTTTCTTCTTTTTTAGTTTGTTTGTAATTCTGAATATTCTCAATGATGATTCTTATTAAATTCTCACAAATGTTACACTGCATCCAAATAAGACATGCGATAAGATCAATTTGTCTTTGTGTCTTTGTTTGGTAGCTGTATCCTCCTCAGTGATTCGCAGTAAGAAAGCCAAGGTCTTTGTGACGGAAGGCACAGATGTGGCCCTCACTGGCATTTGTGTATTTTTCACCCGGGCAAACACCTCCAAGCCTATCACATCAGAGAATATCCACAGGGTAAATGGAAACAAGGGCAATGTGTGAAAAGCATCTGTTAACCATGTCAATAACAAGATCATGTATATATATATATATTTTTTTTTCCTTTTTTGTTTATTTCTGTAAATATTTCTTGCCCTGGTCATATCTTTTATTTGGTACATTCCATATGGTAGATATTGGTTTACTCTCTTTTAAAGCATTAGAGGCATACATCTTGTGTTTTTGTTAGTTTTGTTAGTTTCTTTGTTTTCTTTTATGAGAAATATTGTGACTACTGTGTTACAGCTTAATCCTATAAAGCCAGACATATGAAATAAGTCACATAAAAAATAACTATATATACACACACACACACACATTTCTATTTTATTTTATTTGACTGTTATTTCATATGTCAGGTTTCATAAATCACTCAGTTTTAAACTCAATATTATTCAGCTGATCAAGCAAAAATAATGTAATTGAATTTGAATAATGCAATTGTTGCTGATATTTTTGTGCCCAAAAAGTAAGATGAAATTTTGATAGCTTGTACAGGTAATATAGATCGATGAGATCTTTATAACAGTATAGCAGGCTGCATACATAAAATGCATGTAAATATCAGTTGTCACTGTATTTCCCAGTACTATGCTTATGATCAAATCTATAGTTCTTTTAGTTAGTTTATAAAAATATACTAAACTATACTAAAAGTCATTTTACTTGCTTCAAAATATGAAGAAATAACAGGTTCACAAAAAATGGCAAACCCTAATAGAAAATGAATTATACATTATTTGTTTGTTGGTTGGTTGGTTTATTATTATTTTATTTTATTTGAGCACTTTTACTGACCATTTGTTGTGTGTGATATTTTGATTCAGTTAGAGCCTTATATGTCATCAAAACAACAACAAAAGTCTCTTGTGTATATGTTCATCCTCTCCCCTCTGTTTGCTCTCATAGGATGTGAACTTTAACATGTTGGACACCATGGGTGTTGGTCTGCTGAAGAGCGTGGAGCAGCTGCTGTCAGAGATCTTCATCCCCACTCTGAGGAAGATGAACCACGGCTGGGCAGAGCTAGCAAGCCCGCAGGCTCAGGCTGTCAAGCAAGACTTTATTAGCTCTCTGGACAGCTTTGTCTCTGTGTTAGGCGGGGCACAGGAGAGCCTGCAGGAAAAGGTCTCACAAATACAAAAGGACAAAGAAAGAGGCACACTTTTACAATAACATAAACACACTCAAGGATGCACACACTCCATTCTACTATATTGATCCATAGCTTCTCAAAAATTAAAAAAAAAAAAAAGGATGAATTGGACGGTGGATTTGGTCAGGCAGATGAAATATTGGAAATGTAATGCTATTTTTCTCATCTCTTTCAAGCTTTCAGCCATC